TGTATAAAGATTAAAAGAATATTATTACACCCACCAAAAAGGAAAATTATCACCAAAATTATGGACTAATTCACACTGTGATGGGACTTGTACATTATTACACTCAATGTGGTGATATTTTGGGCAAATAGACTAATTGACCAATGAACGAGATGACTTGAGTCTCTTCCAACTTAACCAGTAGTCTCGTGTTCGAGCCCTGGAAATGCAACAGTGTTAAAAACTCTTGAGGGAGAGCTTTGTCGCCCTTGTGGTTCTACCCGGCTCGATTCTGGATTAGTCGGTTCTCCTGTGGATCCGGAAACCGGAAGGTGCATGTACAAAAAAAAAGTAAAAGAAAATGAAATAATGTACTGAAGAAAAGTATGTAGGAATTAAAAATTGTCATTATCAAAACTAACTAAAGGAGAAACCAAATTATTAAATGCTAGGTTGTTGATAATTGTGGTCCCGATTATGTACTTTCTGTAAATTACGAATACAAACGAGGCACAAATACAATGTACATTAATTATAGAAAAAATACTATTTTGACATAATATTTTAGGGGAATACTACGGTTCCATTACGAAACCATTCCATCAGGGTTAGTAATCGTTAGATCAGTTATTCCCAATAGTTACGTGATGATCGATTACAAAACTCGATGAAATGATTCCGTAACGAAACCGTAGCATTTTTCAATATTTTATATGATCTTTTGGCATATTATATGGGGGTAGTTTTTGTTTGAAAAAAAAAATATGGGGGTAGTTTTTTCTTAATTTAATTGTTGATTTGGAAACTCATGCATGGCCCACCGGGCACTACCAGGCCCAGAGTGTTCGTTTTGCAACTAAATTTTCAAGAGGACATGTAGCCCAAACGCTCTATTTTCCCCTTAACATCATAGGCCCATTATTAAATATTGGATTACATTTAGGCCTAATAATTAGGCTCAACCCAAAGATTGATAAAATGCGTAAGAAAACTTGAAGGGTGATAATTTGGAATTGAATTTATTGTTATTTATGTAAATTTTAAATATGAAGTTTAATTTTTAGTTAATAGATAAAAAAAAGTATAAAAAGCTCAGGCTTAACATATATTCAACGTGATATTTAAAATTTTACTTAATATTAAGTAGGCTACATAAATGAATCAAGATCTACATATTTACTTACATTTTGTAACATATTATTGCCACTAATACAACATTTTAATTACAAAAAAATATTATAGTTCAATTTGGGCCTGGACTGTATTTAAACATATGGTGGGACAATTTATGAAAATGAAATATACAGAATGTTTACAATCTATCATGTCAAGGATTTTGATTTTGTCTTTGATAAACTGAGGAAAGGTCAATGATTGTTGGTATTTTTTTTGTTAGCTGCAAAGTCCCACCTCACATACGACCTCATGAAATTGACCACATTGACAAGCAGAAATTCTATGGCGCCCATACGGGCGCCATAAGACGTGCCACAATCTGATGTGGCTTTATGAGGTGGCTTTTATCAATTTTATTTATTAATTCCAACATGGCAATTTTATTTATTAAAGATGCCCTTAATCTATCTGTAAAAAAAAATTATTTCGTCAAAGGCTACGACAATTGAACCCCCAAATCAGAAACTCTAGTGCTTTGCAGAAGAAGGCGAATCAGTTTATCGCAAAGAAGATGGAGAATTTCAGGCTCGGCCTGCGTCAATCCGTTCGACCCGAAGCCGAATCTCATACCCGTTTTCCGAAATCCATATGTGACCTCACCCATCAAGCCTGCCCAACCATATGAAAAATATTCAGCCAGCATGTATTTTAAATCAAAGTAAATCTATATTTATTCTTTCAAGCTCTTGCTTATTGATATTTAATAGAGCACACACTACTTCTTGCTTCAACTTTTTTTCTCAAATCAACATATCAATTTTTGTTTAAGATAAATAAATAAATAAATAAGTATTTCTGAAATAAATAATAAATAAATAAATAAGTATTTCTGAAATATCGATTTTGTATTGCTATTAGCTGATAGCAGATAACAAATTATATTTAACTGTTTGGGGTTGAGTATTTTAGTAAATAATGGTTCATATATCTGTTTTGTAAACATTGCGTTATTTTTATGAATCATCGTCTCTTCCAAAATGTTGCTTTATTGAACTTTTTCTCAGAGTTAGCGTCTAGCGATAGGTTTGTAACGAAACAAGTTTATTAGTAGATTTGACCGGTCAAAACTCTAAATTAAATCCAATCCGTCATCTGACATTCAGACAAGGCTATATAGTTTATCGCAAGTTTAATTAGTTGCTCTTCACGCCCAATCTCTACTCGACACGTGTCCTATATTTGCAAATAATCATTTTCTCTTACATGTGATACTATATTTATGGACAATACTTAGACAATGTGAGATTAATATTATTTGAAATAAAGAAAAGGGTGGATCATAACCAACCATATAAATCCA